TGAGGGTTGAGGGTTTAGGGTTTCACCAAACAAAAAGCAAAGGGGTAGGTCGTCATTCGGCTCTGGAGGCTTACGAAACCTTCGTAGGGACTACTGAGTTCGGGATTTCGGACGTCGTTTTGCTTAGCCCCATGCACGCACCCGCAATTTTCAGAGTGCATACAGCCATATAGTGTCGAGACGGCTAGGTTGAAAACCCTGAACCCTGATCTCAGCCCTTAAGGCCACAAGTAAGACGCTGATTCTTGGCCCGTATTTTGAGGCTGTTTTTTGTTACTCCGGTTTTGCGACTGCCCGACCTGCCTACAAAGGCCTAGAGAAAAGGGGGGCACGAAGGCACTTACGGTCCTCAAGCTTTAGGGTTTAGGGTTCTATAGGGCTTGTACCTATAGTCTCCCTTGTAGTTCCTTTTTCATTGTAGCTCCGTTTTTTGGTTTAACCAATTATATATTAAGGATTTTATAAGGTATCCCCAAAAAGGAACTACAATGGAGACTTTGGGTATAACCCCAAACCCAAAAATCCCTATAGACCCTACATTGAGCCCTGTCGACTTAGAAGTTTGTAGCGTGAGCCCAACATCTTTAAGGACCCCAAATCCCTGTTCAAACCCCATTTCCCGAAGCCCCTAAACAGGTCGCCCTGAAAGTAGGAATATACCTTAAAATTATAGGGGCCTCAAAATTATGATTTAAGGTATATTCCTTAATTAGGGGGTATTGGGCTCTCTGGGTAGGGTGTAGGATATTGAATTCAGGCTTTAGGGCTTAAGACTTTACGACGTAGGATTAGGGGGAACTGTTGGGGATATAGACCCTCTCAATAAGGTCCGTTTTTGAGAGAGCCATATGTAGGCTGAAGACGGGTCCCCTGAAACTTTGAACCGAATCCCGTTGAGCCCAAAACAAAACTCATGTACAATCGCATATGTCCCGGCATATTTTTAGGGTTTAGGGTTTAGGGTTTATGGTTTAGGGTTTAGGGTTACTTTCATCAGAACGAGGAATAAGCCTGAGGAACATGCAGTGAAGACCCAAGCTAAACCCTAAACCTGAAGGCAGACCACCTTCACTTCTCAGGGAAACTTAACACAAGTCATCCGACCGTAATAACACTAAAAACACCATTCACACACAGAATAAGATCCCTGCATTGACATCAAAACCTTCAGAAAGGGCCGCAGAGTACACAAACAACACCCCTAGACGAATCCTTAACGACCTAAAACCTACCCTAAACCCTTAGACCCTAAACCCCTAAACCCCTAAACCCCTAGACCCCAAAACCCACCCTAAACCCCTAAAACCCTCAAACCCTAAACCCCAAACCCTAAAACCCTAAAATACTAAAACCCTAATCCCTGAACCCTAAAACCCTAAAACCCTAAACCCTGATTCCTAAACCCTAAACCCTAAACCCTTAACCCTAAACCCTGAACCCTAAAACCCTAAACACCAAACCCCTGCATGCGTGGAAGTCTCCGGACTTCCAGCTTGTAACCGGTAGTCGAGGGATGCTTAAGTTTGAGGGCTCCAGGCGTGGGAGGCTCACATTGCCCTCAGGCTCCATGTGGGTAGTTCTCCAGATAAGGGTCCCTTTTTAGGGTCCTTTGCACAAGGCTGCCCTATGATTATGGGGACTTGAAGAGGGACCCCAGTTTAGAGAACTGCCCAACCATGATGCCCTAAACCCTAAACCCCAAGAGGGTCCGTCTATGAATTGTGGAATTCGGCCCTCCAGACCCATGATTCGAATGATCTCTTGGAGCTTAAGGGTTTAGGGTTTATGGCTATATAGTTCCATAATAGCACTGATAGTACCGTTGGAGCCTTTCGGTAAGGAGCCCTCAAAAGGCTAGGCTATTCAGGGTCCAGGTGGGGCATTCATGTAGGATGCTAGATTCAATCCGATCCTGCTGTGGCCATGCCTTCATTGGAGGCGGGCAGGCATGGACGGTGGCTTTAAATGATCGGGACGGCATTTGGCCAGGGGTCTTATATTCCAGTGTAATGATTTACAGACCCTACGAGGATATCACGCATGATACTATTGCCAATTCTATAGGCTTCAGAGTAACGGTGTAAGGTTGAGAGTTCCGTGTAGGTTGAGGGTTTCGTGTTTCTAGTCATGCTTGCAGGCCTTTCCCCAAACCCTACATCCTAAACCCGAACCTAAACCCTTAACCCTAAACCTGATAAACCCTAGACTCGAGAGGAAGGGTAGATCTGAAGTTAGGATTTAGGGGCTTAGTCTTCAGGGCTCGTGAGTGTCAGGGAGTCATAGGAGCGTTTACCCAAACCTTGCATCGTAGCCTGTATATTATACTATAATTATAATAAGGCACCCCAAACCCTATGCTAATTATTAGGGCCCCTGCCTTTCCCGGGAGATAGACAGAAAGAGAGGAAGGCGGACAGTGTACGTGAGCCGGAACTGTTGAACCTTTAATGCAGTGATGCTTTTCGTTTCAGGGGGGCGTAGGCCTCGTGATGTTCTCGGGTTTATGACCCCAGCGCTCAACTGGGGGTTCTTGCAAACATGTCGTGAACCCTAAGCGCTGGACGCTGCAAGTGCCCTCGACTCCCCTAAAATCCCGACGGGGTCCCCGCCTGGAACCGTAAACCCCACAGACCAAACCCTAAGCCACAAGCCCTAATTTTATCAAGACCCTAAAACCCTAAACCCTAAACCCTACACCGTAAACCCTAAACCGTTTTTTCTCATGACCACCATCGGATGCAAGGCCCAAGCCATTTCTTGTGTCATTCCATGGGCTTCGGGTCTTTAGACAGTACGGTCTCCGTTTCCACGTTTCTGGATGTCTAGGTATATGTATATCAAAAAGTACACAAACAGAACAAGTAGCCAACCAACCGCACACATACATGTGTATGAGTATCTGTATATGCATATCTTCTTTTTCAGTGGGTTTGTATGCTTATTGCGTCATCAGATCGCAGAAGGAGGGCTTAATTTGCCACCTAAATAACTCTGACTGAGCCCAACTTCTGGCAAGAGACGAGTGGAGCTATTGACTTCCATTTCAGTAGAGGCTGTTTCGAGTGAAGACTTTGCCACACATGGATCTAGACTTCGGCCATGGCAAGATCGCTCAAGGCGATCTTGAACTTGGCATTGCTGACTCTTCTAGCAGCTTTGCTTGAGGGCTGTGAAACAGCCACTCCAGAAGAGAGGCAGTCAAGCACCACCTGGATTTTAGTCTTTGCCGTTATTTTCCTTATCGGCTTCCTGTTCATACTGAGCACATCGCTGGTCTACGATCAACTTGAGAATGGAAGACCAACCGCCATTCTGGGCCTGCTGATTTCCTGCGGGTGTCTGATTCCCAGCCTGGCATTGTGGATAGCCTACGTTGCTGGGTTCTTGTTAATGAACTAGTTTAAGTTACCAGAATCGTATGTTTCGGGGAAACTCTACTGCTATTTACCCAAAGCCCTAAACCCTAAAACCTAAAGACTAGCTTCCATAGCAAAGAAGGGCAACACAGGGCCGTAATAACTAGAACAGGGCTTGGGCGTATATTCGCTATCCTTACAAGACGGAACCACCAAAATTGTATGGGTAATTATTTAGGCCCCTAAACCCCAAACCCTAACCCCAAACCCTATAGACCCTCAACCCTAAAACCCCAAATCCGAAACCCTAACCCTAAAACCCTAAAACCCTAAAGCCTTAAACCCTAAACCCTAACCCTAAACCGCAAACCCCAAACCCCAAACTACCCTAAAACATAAACCCTAGACCCCAAACCCTAAACCCTAAAACCCAAACCCTGAACCCTAAAACATAAACCCTAAACCCCAAACCCTACACCCTAAACCCTAAACCCTAAACTCTAAACCCTAAACCGTAAACTCTAAGACTCTAAGACCTGACCAACCATAACCCTTTGG